ACCGCCATTACTAGTAACTTGTTTGTACAGATCAATTTATTGATCATGACTAGAACTATATAAGTTCCCCCTGCCCACTATAGTCTCCCCAAAAATGCAGTGTTAGCAGGATCAGCCCTATTCACTGCCAACACTAGCGTTTAGTCCCTCCACTGGTTTGCACAGAAGATTTATATCAATTGATTGTGGGTCAAAGCAATTTATACTCACAACAATACATCGCCGCCCACCCAAATTCAGCTCTTACCAAGAAATTTGCATGGAAACCTATCACAGTTTATGAATTTAAAACTTTTTTGGGCCTAATCCTCAACATGGGCATCACAAAAAAGAATGAATTGTTGTCATATTGGCCACAGACCTGATTCATCATATGCCCATGTTCTCTGATGCCATGGCCAGGCATAGATGTGAGATGGTAATGCGCTTCATGCATTCCACTGCTAACACTCTGATTAAAAAAAGAATATTACATATATGCTGAACAAGGACCAGCAACGTACTGGTATGTTGCTGGACTTTTAGTGGTTATACCAGGATGATGCCTGCAGCTACAGGCATTATCCTGGTATTGTTTTGTTTTCAGCTGGCAGTTGGATTTCATTTAAAAGCAATCCTAGCAGCTAATTAGCATCTGGATCACTTTTACAAACAGCGGGAAGGGATGTGCCACCCCCTATTGCCGCTTTCCGCTGCTTTCTCAGCTCTCCTGTCCCACTGGGGAACTCGAGAATGCAGTTGGCAGTTCTGCCAGTTGACCATAAAGTTAATTGGAGACCAGAATGGCTCTAATCATTTTTATGGTCTAAGAAACCGGAAGCAATGAGCATTTTTTAATTGGGAAAACATCTGATCACACAGATCTTGGTGTGATCAGATGCTTGAACCACTTTCCCTCCAGAGGATTTACCCCCTTTCCTGACCAGGCCATTTTTTGCAATACGGCGTTGAGTTACTTTAATTGATAATTGCATGGTCCTTCAATGCTGCTCCCAAATGAAATTTATGTCCTTTTTGCCACAAATAGAGCTTTCCTTTGGTGGTATTTGATCACCTCTGCATTTTTTATTTTTTGCACTATAAACAAAAAAAATCCAGACAAATTTGAAAAAAACAAAACAATATTTTTGACTTTTTCCTATAAAACATTCAGTAAAAAAATTTCAAATATCAAATTTTGTCATAAATTTAGGCCAAAATGTATTCTTCTACATGTCTTTGCTAAAAAAAATCCCAATATATGTAAATTAATTGGTTTACGTGAAAGTTTTTGCATCTACAAATTGCAGTGTATATACTGGAATTTTTTTTATTATACTAGTAATGATGGTGATTAGCGAATTATAGTGGCACTGCGGGACTGTGGCGGGCATACTGCCACTGACTAACTGCCACTGACATCCCCAGTGACACTAATACAGTGATCAGTGCTAAAAAAAAACACTCACACTGTACTAATGACACTAGGCAGGAAGGGGTTAACATCTGGGGTGATCAAAGGGTTAACTGTGTGCTGTTTTACTATGTGTGCTGTGTGTGATTTACTGTGTAAGCATGCTGCTTTGTATTGCTCTGCTATGCAGAGCAAAACAAAGCAGCATGCTGGAGCTGACAGGGGAGAGATATGTATTGTTTACATACAGACCTCTCCTCTGTCAGTGTTCCTTGGTGATCGCTGGGTGCCAGTGGGGAATCTATGGCCAGGACCTGGTGATCAACAGCTGTAGCTGCCCTACCTGGAAATGCAAAATCGCATATATACGTGATTTTGCGGAGCCCTGCCGCTCCGTAGCAGTATTTGTGCTATAGGGCAGTGGGGGAACTGGTTAAGGGAAGAGGAGAGATCTAGAGTCTAATTAACCCCATATTTCTCAGAAAAGAGTACCTGTCACTGTCTATTGCTATCACAGGGGATATTTACATTCCCTTTGATAACAATAAAAGTGATACAAAAAAAAAAGGACAAATAAAAAATAATAATAATTAAAAAAAAACTAAGTAAGGGCTCATTCACACAGGTTCTGTGGCTGGTACAACATAAATAAGTGCTTTGATTATTTTGCTGGAGCTGCCCAGAGCTTTTGTTACTCTTTGGAGATGCAGTGGCCACATCCCCAAAGAGTAACTTAAACTACCTGCATGCATCTTCAAGCAAGTGCACCACATAAAAAAAATCACTGATTCACACTGAACGGGCCACAATACCTTTGTGAATGAGCCACACTTCTACTTCCACAGTGCCCTTGTAAAATTGAAGTTTTTACTTTTTAGCTATGAGGATACATCATTTTACATTTTCTTAGTTTTTTTTTTTTTAAATAAAAATAAAGAGTTTATAATATTGACCAGTTTTTTTTATAGAACTGTTGCTTTTGCATTTGTGGTTAATTTATTTTAGTTGAGATAATTTTACAAATCCAGCTGAGTAGACATTTTTTATATAATAAAATATGAGCTGCAGGAACAAATCTCTCCACAAATATAAGAAGACATTTACAGATGGCAAAAATATTGTAGTCCATTTTTAGCAGGAATGTGAATATCCAAAATCAGATGGGTTACATTTGGTGGTACATGTCTGACAGAATTCCAGTGCCGTGTAAATATTTATTAGGCTAAAGTACGTGTTTAACTGCAGGACAGAATTTATTATTTAATGAACTATGCATCTAACAATCCGGGGATAATAAAACATTTGTTTGGAGCATGCTTAAGAAAAGCATACTTTCTTTATATTTTAATGAGAAAGTTGGTGATCTACATTTTTGTCAGAATTTTAGAAGTATTGATAGTAACCACCTTACTGAGTTCCATAAAACTATGCACATAATCTTGTTAGGATATGAGTCATATATTCCTAGAAACTCACAGATAATAACTGTCACAATAAATCTGTAAGTTCCTGCAGCATGTCAGGAGCATTCTTAGACCTAGCTTAATTAATAAGCAGCTGCTGAAGCATGCTCAACATTTATCAGCAATGGGTTCCTCAAATTACTTGTTATTATTACAGTTAAATAGGTACTTAATAGGTAACCACAGAAGCCAGGTTTCATTATAATTCTGAAATTGTGTGAATGTGTTTGAGACTATTAAGTACAAAAAAATAAGCTCAAGAACATATGGGTAAATGTGCAGACAAACCACAGAGATTGTATCTGGTGCATATCTTATATCATTGGGGAAATGTGTCCATTCACCAGCTGGGCAAAGGTGTAGAGTGAATATCAGTCAAAATTAAAAAGGTAATCCAATACGCTATTCATATGATGTGGACATATTAACAGTAAACTCTTTTCTGTGCATGAAATGTACATGTAAATGTAAATATAATATCAAAATGTCTTAAAGTGGTTCTAAAGCATTTTTTAGTCATTAAAATAATATACATTATATACTTACCCAGGGGCGGACTGACCATTTGGAAACTCTGGCACAGCCCGAGGGCCCGGGGTCAGTAGGGGACCCCATGAGATGCCCCTGGTATCTTTTTCATAGGCTTTTTTGAGTTTGGGCAAGGACACAGGGGCCCCATGATCCCCTATTGCCCAGGGGCCCCATTAGTTGTCAGTCTGCCCCTGTACTTACCTGCTCTGTGTAATGGCATTGCACAGAGCAGCCTCTTACCTCCCCTTCTGAGGTCCCCTGCTGGTGCTCTCTGCTGCTCCTCCTCTTCTGTGTGTATCCCCATAGCAAGCTGTGTGCTATGGAGAAACACATGCTGGCATGCTCCTGAAACAGGATGTGTGCGTCCATAGACACACATAGTATGGCTTGTTCCCACCCCCACTTCCCCTTCACAGGATTTGACTGAATGAAGCAGGATCCAATGGCTCCTGATGTTCGTAATATAGTGTAGTGACAGCAGGGAGAGAAGACTGGCAGTCAGGTACAGCACTGGTTGGATGTAGGACTCAGGTAAGTGTTTGCGGGGGGGGGGGGGGTACATCAACTGGCAAAATGTTTTCTCATTGATCTATGCACCATATGAGTGAATTGATACAAGTATACTATATGTCTGGAATCAAAAAGAATGTTTGTTACAGTTAGGATTTGACATCTATTTGGTTTGGTTTCTGCAGCAGTATGTGTTTGAAAGAGTGGCAAGGTAAAGAGTAGAGCAGCAGAAAAGCATAGTACAGAGAGAGAATTGTGTCACCTACTATATTACCACTGGAGGGAGAAGACATTTTATGTTTTGCAACATTTTATGTTTTGCAACATTTTGACCTATCAGGAATTAATGATCTGAAGGAGATGATCTACTGGACCATTTTTTATCTTCACCCGTGACATTGAAATTAAGTTAACCCACTTGCCTACCAGGCACTTATACCCCCTTATTTACCAGGCCAATTTTCAGCTTTCAGAGCTGCCGCACTTTGATTGACAATTGCGCGGTCATGCAACATTGTACCCATATGAAATTTTGATCATTTTTTTCTCACAAATAGAGCTTTCTTTTGGTGGTATTTAATCACCAGTGGGCGCTTTACTTTTTGCGCTATAAATAAAAAAAGTGCAAAAAATTTGAAAAAAAAAAAAAAAAAAAAAGTTTCTTTGTTTCTATTATAAAATTTTTCAAACAGGTATTTTTTCTCCTTCACTGATGTGCGTTGATGAGGCAGCACTGATGGGCACTGATAGGCAGCACTGATGGGCACTGATAGGCAGCACTAAAGGGCACTGATAGGCAGTACTAATGAGGTGGCACGGATAGGCGGCACTGATAGACAGCACTAATGAGGTGTCACGGATAGGCAGCACTAATATGCAGCACTGATAGGCGGCACTGATAGGTGACACTGATGATGGGTACTGATAGACAGCACTGACTGGCATCACTGCTGGGCACTGACTGGCGGCACTGACTGGCACAACCCCTGGGCACTGACTGGTGGCACTGACTGGCAGCACTGCTGGGCTGCACTGGTGGGTGCACTGGTGGGCAGCACTGGTGGGTGGGCACAGGTGGGTGGCACTGGTGGGCACAGGTGGGTGGGCACAGGTGGGTGGCACTGCTGGGCACAGGTAGGTGGCACTTCTGGGCACAGGTGTGTGACACTGCAGAGTGGCACAGGTGGGTGATCTGCTGGGCACAGGTGGGCGGAACTTGCGGGTGGCATTGCTGGGCACCGATCATCAGGGCACTGATCATCAGTGCCCTGATGATCGGTGCCGATCCCCGCTCTGACAACTGCCAGTTCTCGGCAGTACTTTCCTCACGATCTGACAGCGTGAGGAAAGTGCAGCCGGGAACCGGCACTTGCATTTCCCTGTGATCAGCGTGTCATTGGACACCACTGATCACGTGGTAAAGGCCGCTGTGATTGGCCTTTTACCACATCACGTGATCAGCTGTGTCCGTAGGACACAGCGATCACGGAGATCGCCGGTGCGTGCGCGCCCCCTGGGGCGCGCAGGAGAGAGAGCGCGTTCTGGGAGGCCGTCATATGACGTCCACTCAGAACTGGCCAGCCGCAGTGTAGCCATCATTCGGCTATCTGCGGTCGGCAACTAGTTAATGAAAGGACCCCGGCTGCAGACAGGTTCAAAAGGATAAGGCAGGCCATAGATGATGCCGGGGGAGCCGTCCCTGCAAGGAGAACACAGTGATTATTGCTAGCACCTATAGACACTGGCAGTAAACACATGTGAAAATTCGACATTCTGGTTGTACCCAGGTCGATCAATGGATCAACTTGGATACAATCAGGCTGCTCATAGATGGTTCGAATCTCGACTGGTCCCTGCGGAACCGGGCAAGATTTGCACCATGTTTGGTAGGCTTAAAAGACCTGAAGAATCTCCTTCTTTCTAGAGGTTAGGCAGGTGGTTGCAAAACTTTCCAGTGTTAGCAAAAAACACTTGCAGCAACTTGCAGCAAAAGATATCAGTAACAAAAATGGCTGTGAAACTCAAGATGACAAAGGAACTAGTTTTATTAAGAACAAATCCCCAATTGATAAAGGTACTAAAAATGCATATATAGGCTAATATTTTAGACAGCAACCCAGAAACCAACCAAACGACTTTTTTTGCAATTCTGAGGTGCTTTAATCATAAGAAAAGCAAAAGAATGGAAGCAGCTAAAAATTCATAACAAATTAAAAGAGAGGAAAGCAAGCCGCTTGTGCACATAGAAAAAAACTCCATGATTGTAGCAGTTTAGCATATTTTTTTTTACAGATCTGAACAGGGACGGACTGACCATTTGGAAACTTGGGCACTGCCCGAGGGCCCGGGGTCAGTAGGGGGCCCCATGAGATGCCCCTGGTACCTTTTTTCATAGACTTTTTTGAGTTTGGGCAAGGACACAGGGGCCCCATGATCCCCTATTGCCCGGGGGCCCCATGAGTTGTCAGTCCGCCCCTGGATCTGAACACAGGTGCATTGTTGTCTATATGATAATGCACACAGATGCATAGAGATCTGTAATGCAGTGGTGCATTCAGAGCCGTAAAAAAAAATAAAAATTTGAGAATTTAAGTGCAAGAATTTTACATATATGTATGGCCTTTATGGAACATAACTTGTGCTTTTACCTAGGATCTTTTTACCAGAAAGAGCCTGCATAGAAACATCAATAAATTGTTACATGCTTGTGCAAGAGGACTAATAAAGTGTATAACAAAAATGTATGTGTCTGCTTTAGTTTTCTTTTTTAATCTTTTTTTCCTCTATTTTAACCTGGTGATCTGGCTACTAATACACCTCCTGTATTAGGGTGCCTACACTCTAGATCAGTGTTTCTCAACTGGGGTTCCAGGCAGCTGACAGGTAGATCCCATCCCCACTGCTGACCCATGTGTGTAATCTTTAGATACTATGCATACAGTACCTAAGCTGTATAGCTCTGTACATAATTGTTCATGACTATCAAGATATTTTTCTGCCTTTATGTTATATAATTGTAGTGCAAAAGTGGAAATTGAATGTCACACCACTTTAAGAGACCCAGATAGAACTTTATTCTAATACAAGTTGGGGGGACAGTCTAAAGAGTGCCCAATGCCTTTCTGGGGTCCAAAAATGGTCCTTTCATCAGTGCTTGATAGAACACAATGTGATTGGACTAGATGTGAGCTGGACCTTAAATGTTTTTCCTCCCTGTATGATTACAAGCACAAGCCATATCAGCAGTTGCTTTGGTTTCATAATTATTATGTAAAATTTGATAGATACAATAACAAATAGATATTCACTGCAGTTAACGTTACGGTGAGTCTGTTCTGACTTGGATTACTGCATTATTTTCTAGTTCCTCTGCAGTTGTTTAATATGCCGGATATCTTTCACAGTTTTTCCAGATTTCTCAGGGCACACAACAGGGGTGCTTGTATAGGAATTAATTATGAGCATTTAATGTGAAAATAGCAGTGCATGTGTCCAATATGAGACTAAAGTGTTAAAAAATTAATAGAAATGTGTAAATCAATCGATGAATAAATAATGCAATTAAAAAAATTAAAAAGAAAACTAAAAATGAAAGGTAAAGCAAACATACCAAACCGTCCACCATAAATAGTGTTAAAAGTCCATAGTCCCTTCCATAGTCCCCTTCTTACACCAAGTGAAAGAAATGTAAGTTACAGGATTATAAGTATGAAAACTATGACACGTACCCTAAACCTTTTTTTTGGGGGGGAACAGAAGGGGGGAACCAGGGTGGCCCTAGTTTCAACATCAACAGGACATAGGGGGAAATGTAAACGGTGAATGGTTCCATACCTCTGAAGATGTGCGTGCGCACGTAACGCGTAAGGAGGAGCCTGGACGTCGAGACGCTACGCCGCCGGAGCCACGTGGAGGCCCGGCGGCCATTATTCAGAGTGTCAGGGTTAGTTTGTCTTGCTGACACATCTTTATGATACCTGCCTACTTTGAATCGGATACTATAATTTTTAATAAAGCTGCTTTTTTATAACCTACTACACTATGGGTGTCCTTCCCTAAAACTCCCTTGAGGAGCTTTTGCTTGCAGAATCCTGATCTTGGAATCCTACACCTTATTGGGGAGAGGAGGATCTGTTGCTGCATCCACAGAGGAGGGATCCACCATTCCTGTAACTGGACCAGCTTTATCCCCTTCTGGATTGAGGATCCATGAGCTCTAGATGCACACTGCGTTTATGTGTCTTGCTTCTGGTGAGTGCGTTTTTCAGCCGTTTCCACACGGATCACCAATTTTGAATCCTCATTTGTCACTGGACACGTCCAATACCAAGACTTTTCAGTGGACTTATATCTTTCTTAATATCACTACTTTTAGCGCTGTACTAATTTTATGTTATAGGGGGAAATGTATTCACTCCCAACATGGGAGGAGGAGGGAATGTAGAGCTGGATGAAGAAGAAAACAAGAAAAAAAAGGAGAAGGGAGTATTAAATAATGGCATTTTCAATCTGAGCAAAGCATCCCTAGCACATAAGGAACTGAATATTTTAAATTTGTGGTTGAAATTTGCACCTGGGATACCTAGGAATAAATTTGAGATGTATGTAGATGCACACAAATATATACGTACATTGAATCTTAAAAAATATTTCCTTATGAATCCCCGGATAAGTAGAAACCATAGGGTAGGGGCTGATGAAGCAACAAATAGTAGGCTGAAAAATAGATCTACATATAACTCCTCTATTTCAAATAATCATTACGTGGATGTTTTTAAAAATCTGGTGTTGAAAGATCTTGAACAAATGAAACCCAAAAAGCAAGTAAACCCAAGGTATATCAGTGAGGGTATTGAGCTTTTGGAAAAATGTAAGGATATTATCATACGCCCAGCTGATAAGGGTGAAGGAATGGTCATCTTAGATAAAGAATTCTACCATTCCCAATTAGCTGAAATGTTGTCAGATTCTAATACTTACAGTAAACTTGTGAAGGTTCCAACATTACAATATACAAAAGAACTGGAAGAACTGATACAGTGGGGCTATAAATCTAGGGTTTTGACCAAAAAAGAAAGATATTTGATCCTGAGTGCATGTAGATTACCTGTAATATACACATTACCTAAAATTCACAAAAATGTTGAATTCCCTCCTGTCGGACCCATAGTAAACAGCATTGGGTCTGTTACATCTAGATTGGGTGAGTATTTGGATAAATTCCTTCAGTTGAGCATGGTGAACACTAAGGCTTATTTAAAGTTTACTAAAGATTTGTTACAAACGTTAAATCAATTAGATTTGAGAGATAAATCTGAAATAATATTAATGACAGCAAATGTTGTGTCACTTTATGCTATTATACAACATGAGGATGCACTCCTGGCTTTAAATTGGGCGTTAAGTAAATGGGATGATTTACCCTTCACCCAAAAATTGTTTTTGAGAAGAGCATTGAAGTTTTCACACAACCATTTTTGGTACCAGGAACAACATTATAAACAGCTGAACAGTGTTGCCATGGGTGCAAAATTTGTTTAGCAAATATTTTTATGGCGGAATGGGAGGACAGGTTTGTCTTTCACAATCAGAGATCAGAATTAATCTTTTCTCGCAGATTCATTGATGATCGGCTATTCATTTGAGAGGGAACAGAACAGGATCTGTATAGTTTCATGACATTGTTAAATACCAACATTCAGAACATCAAATTGGATTATCAATATGATAAACAAAAAAATATATTTTTTAGATCTTATCTACTTTCAAGAAGGAGATCAATTGGCCAATAAGGTATACTTTAAACCTACAGACAGAAATAGTTATCTCTCTATTATTAGTGGCCATCATCCTGTATGGCTAAGAAATATACCTAAGGGCCAGATTATGAGGGTAAGAAGAAATTGCACACAGGATTCCGTTTTTAGGGAACAATCCCATTTTATTAGGAATAGATTTGTGCAAAGAGGGTATTCAGCTCAATAGTTAAACAATATTATTGAAGAAGTGGCCAATGTCACTAATGATAATATTATGAGATAGGCCCAATGAACAGCAAAATACCAGCCATCAATGGAGCTTTATTTTGAATTATCATTCCCAATATAGAGAGGTGGAGATGGTGTTTAAGAAACACTGGGCATGTATTGTTAATGGATAAGGTATTGGGATCTGTAATACCTCCTAAACCTATCTTTCTTTATAGATGGGCCCCTAACTTTGTAGATAAAGTTGTGAAAAACAATTTAGACCCTCTCATTAGACAATCTTTGTTCCCAGAAAGAAAGGGCTTTTCTGCATGCCGTAAATGTAGGGCATGGAGGATGGCTAGAAATAATGTGGAAAATAGAACTAACTTTACATCGTGGACAAGTAATAAATCGTATGATATATCGGAAATCAATACTTGTGACACTACTCATGTAGTATATGCTCTGC